CAGCTCAACACATGTGTTTTGGTGTTTCGTGACCCTTTAATGACACATCACGTCTTTTTCAGGGACACAGCTGCTGTAGAACTTTAAGTGTTTGTCATAAATGAGAAGATTATAGGGCAGCTGAATCTCCAACACTGTTCTTCAATCATCACACTGTGCTTTCCTGCAATATCTGAATATAAACTCTGTGCTAAATCCTGTATAGATGTCCAGTCCTTTGTAACGGATTCGTAACGGCCTTTAACACTATAAATGAAGACAAATAATAAATTACTCTGGCGAGGTTTGCACTCGGGTCGGCGATGTCGTAACGCAACGTGCTGATCTGCAATAGTGCTGAGTACAGAATAAGTACTGCACTGTGTCCTGCAAAACTCTTAACCACAGTAATACTGTCTATTGAGGACTTGGTCTTTTCTCCCCTCTTTAAATCTGATCAAGTCATGTCAGGTTTATTAATGTAAGAATCATCTGATCTTCATTGAGCAGGGGTCATATTCAGTAATATTAATCAATATTCTGTAAGGTGCCGCTGTTAGGGGTGGAATGATAGCTACATCATCATCATCATTAAGCTGCTGTCGGGCTGTGAGTAAATAAATAAGAGCAGAGCTGCGGCGAAATGATGAATGAAAGAGTGAAGCTGAAGCAGCGTCGAGCAGGAGCAGTGTGTGAGGCACACAGGTGTTTCCTGCACGCATGCGTCAGTTTGTTTTGGATTACATTTCTTTAACCAGTGTTGGGTGAGTTACAGACTGAGAATAGCAGCTCTATATAACGACAAAAGGCTTTAACACGTCTTCATTATAACGGAAAGAATATTCGACGCGAGAGTGTGAGAATACTGTCCATGCGTGACTCTTGAACATCATAACACACACAACACAGGACCTCATATAAAAACCATAGACTGTAAAGATATAGATGTAGTGTTCATGACGTCACCCACAGAAGAGCGCAAATTGAGCTACAAGTAGGCGTGGCCAATCATCGCCATTTTGTTTGCACGTCATCGCACCCACTGGGGGTGACCAAAAAAGGGCACAGAGGCGGAGCGTGGGCGGGGCTACAGACACCATTCAGCTTAGACGGGCTTTCCTGTGGGAGAAAGGCTGAATACTCCATCAGCTGCGACTGGCTCGTGTTCTGAGCACATGTGCTGGGCTGTACACTATATCAGTAAAGTGTTCAGTCTTTTATAAACACTGCTGTCACACACTGAACATTGCTCTGATGATGCTCTTCTACAGGAGGAAAACAGCAGCACTTCAGATGTAGTGTGTGTCAGTAAATGCAGGACTCTTGATGAACACTGCAGGACAACACTTCAGATGACTGATCTAGAGCCCACAGCGGATCAATCTGCCAGATTCTGGAGGATCACAAACTCCTATTTTGGGCTCGTGTGAGCGTGCGTCGTCTGTGTGTGTTTGTCAAAACAGTCGAGAGTCAGAGAGAAGAAACGCAAGGGAGGCGTAAAACTGATATTCTGCTGAAGAGACGGGGTAAAGTTCATTCTTTTCAGTGTAAATGAAAGGAGGCAGTTATATTTAAGCCCTGTTGTGTTATAAATATGCAGAGTGAAGATGATGCTCATATAAATATGCAGCTACACGAGGCTGTTTGGTGTCTGTTAATCATAATATCAAAATGAAACCAGTTTGACTTATATTATGTTTTGATTGTTTAGATAGTGAAACAGCGAGCAGGATGAGGTGAAAGAGGTTATAAAGTACACTGTTTTACCCATGCATCAGCAGGCAGTTTGTGTTGTGTTTATTATTATTATTATAGGCTGAGTGAATAGTGTATTGAATTAGCTAGATCGGCTGTAGTGTATGAGTGTGTGTGTGTGAATGAAAGTGTGTATGGGTAATTTCCAATATTGGGTTGGGGCTGGAAATGCATCTGCTGCATAAAACATGCTGGAATAGTTGGCAGTTCATTCCACTGCGGCAACCCCTGATAAATAAGGGACTAATGCGAAGGAAAATAAATAAATGAATGAATAGTGTATTTTTTACAACTCAACAAATATCTTTATGGACAGAATACAGAAATAACATTAAAGAGATTAAAGTTTGTATTTATTTATTTATTTCATATATTTGGCTTTTATGTTTTATAGAATATGAGCTGATAAAAATATTGGACGTGCACAGAGAGATGGCATTTTGATTGAATGTAGTGGGCCGCTCTGACCCAAAATGCCAGGGCCGATTGTTTTTGTCCCAGTCCAGCCCTGGTTTAGTATCAGCTTCACGAGGGAGAGCGGGAGGGGGACGCCCGGTCACACAATGACCCGTCAGACTGACTCCACACTGCTGAACTGCCTTTACTACATCCCGATCCTCACAACCGAGGCAAACAGAAGTGTGTGTGTGTGTGTCCATGATCACCGGTGTGTGTGTGTGTGTGTGTGTGTGTGTGTGTGTGTGTGTGTCTACGATTTGTTCATTTGTGTGTGTGTGTGTGTGTGTGTGTGTTAGAGTCTTCTCATGCCAGAGATCTGACACTCAGAGGAGTTCCCGCTCACTGCAGTCAGAGTGCATTGTGGGATACATCTGTTCGTGATCATGTGACAGACAGCCGATTGTCTGAGCAGGTACACACACACACACACACACACACACACACACACACACACACGATGAAGATCCTATGTAAAAGACTTGGAAAAGATATGGAAAAGTCATGTTTTTGTGTGTGTGTGTGTGTGTGTGTGTGTGTGTGTGTGTGTGTGTGTGTGTGTGTGTGTGTGTGTGTGTGTGTGTGTGTGTGTGTGTGTGTGTGTGTGTGTGTGTGTGTGTGTGTGTGTGTGTGTGTGCGCGCGCGCTCGCGCTCATGCTTGTGTGTGTCAGGAGTTGAACCGCGTGCGCAGTGATGTGCTGGTGCCGGGCTCTGCAGTGTGTGTGTCGGGTGTGTGTGCGGTGCCGCTGCTGCTCCTCCATCAGCCGGGTCGTGTGTGTGGACAGGAGCGTCTGCGCTGGGGCTCCGGCTGGGACCTGCTGCTGCCCAAGGGCTGGGCCATG